TTAAATGTGTTTAAGGTACTGTAGATGATCGTGGGAAGGCAAAGTTTGATTGTACACGCACGCCTGCAGTTTTTGCGATTTCACATATTTATGATACTCTAATTTTTTGGATGACTGTATTATGATAATTGTGGTTTTCTTGACTTGGTTTTATGGAAACAATTTTTTCACCTAATTTAAAAATGAAATTTTTTGTTGTGAAAATTGGACCTTACAATAATGCTCCTTAGTTCTTAAGTTTAAAGGAGAATAATGAAGTCACTAATGATAGAAGAAGGTACTATAAATAATGATATATCCATGTCAGGTAAGATAGTACATCGTTGCCGAGAAAAAAGTTGATTTAAAACTTTTAACAAAATTTTGGAAGTATCTAAACAATAAATAAGTTATAATTTTTTCCTATTTTATCTAGAATGTGATTTCACGTCAAATGAATATTAATGGTGTATCTTCTAGATGATCATAAAAAAGGCTTGCAGTGTATGCTCATATTTGCACTTAGTGAGAACTACCAATTCGATTTGTGGGGGTAAACCATAAGATACCATTGAATCGGTATCTTCTTGTTTGTCCATACTAAACAAGGGTTCAATATCCGTGACATCTAAAGACATCACCTGTCCGAGTGAAACGAAACTTACGAATATTGTAAGGGATTGTTGGAAATTTGAAGGATTAAATGCAAGTCGATAGTTTTTTTGTACCATATAAGTGGGTGGAAGAATTTAAAGTAACTTTATATGGCTTTTCTTATCATGAACCTTTAAAGGATCTAGTGGTGGTTAAAGATAAGCCAAACCCACACACACATTTAGCGGAGTAGTGGATGCAAGATGCAAGGTTTGTGAAATGACATGATTTATGTGTACTTTTCACTTCATAGGTCAGTAGGAGCTTTTATTTTAAGTGGTTTCAGACTTATTTAAATCGATTTGGTTAAACAGTTAGAGATAAAGTTGGCTTAATGATACAATCAACCTATTAGAGATAACTATCAATTTAGTAACAAATAAGCTTGGAGAGCAAGACACTACAACTAAGGATAAACCTAGCATCCATGTCTGCCAAACAACAAATCATGAGTGGGTGTCCACCATTGTCTCTCCATGTTGTTTGGGAGTTTTCGAAACTATAAATACATCCCTTTTGGAGTCATATTCTACCACGAAAATATGAATACTCTACAATATTCCCCATGTTTTTGAGTATTTGCTTTATTTTATTGGCTCTTTTATAAATGTGTAAAAGATCAATACCCTGCACTAAATCCTAGGTTTTTCCATTGAAGCTTATAACAATTGAGCGGTATAAAAACCTTTAAAGACATGAATTCATATGTGTAATTACTAGTCAAGAAATATGCAATCTTCAAGTTGGTTTTAAATTTTAGTCTCATGTTTTAGTACGTCTGATAACGGAACAATCTCTTTCTACCTTTCTTATAACCAGATCTGATAGAGATGATCAATTTGAATTTTTGGATGGAACTTGGTAATTTATAATAGTAGTATTTAAGTCACCTTGTACTTTGCGGCGGATAACCCATTTGCAATTAATAAAAACTAAAACTATAAAAAGAAGTTACGTGAGAGACAAAAAAACATAGCTTTAATGCGTTGGTAACTCCATTGTAATTCGTAGCTTTAATGCGTTGGTAACTTCATTATACCATATCAAGTGGATCACCAAAGTTTCAAAATAATAACGTTTAAACAAAACGTAATATTACTAAAAACAAAAATTATAAAAATAATATGTAAGGGGCTAAAAACATAACTTTAAAATATAGTAAGAAACAAAAACGGCAACTTATAAAATATCAATAATTTAAATTTAAAATTATAAAGAGTGAAAGCTGTTAGATGATTTTTTAAAAGCAAAAAGTATAAATATGATAATCTATGACGAAATGATAAACCTTTATTTTTAGAGAGACTCTTATTTTGAATTTTTGTAATTTGATTTGGTTTTAGTCATTTTGGCTTGTTTGTTTTGATACTGGTAACGATCTGATATTAATTGTCGAATTATTTATTTGTGAAATCTGCAATACGACACCACATTAGGCTGAAGGGAGTGGTGTTGAGCTCACTGAACTCCCTAGCTCTAATAAGGAAGAGGAAAGTCTAGCAGAAGAGAGGGGGTGGGCTACCAAGTTAGGGATACATATAACTACATATCTTTTCTTGTTTCCTTTTATAATATTCCATGTATTTATTCGCCAATTTCAATATACAACAATATGGTGAAATTTATCCAAACATAACATGGTATCATCCACACCTCGTTCCTACTTCCCTTTATTCTTCACATAAACCTTATTTCTCTAATACCACATATTCTACACAATGCATACCTTTTTTCACCTAATCCAAATTAACATTCTTGTTTTCTTCCACCATGGTTTCATCTACCAAAGATTTTTCCTTTCATATGAACACAGTCATTCATATGCATAATATCAAATTAACCTCATTAAACCATCTAATTTGGCGAAATCAACTTAATCTATTACTGCTCCATCAAAATTGGATATGGTTTATCGATGGTTCGCATCCGGCTCAATCAAAAACATTGATAATCAACAACAAGGAAACCAAAAATCCAACTTCTGCTTCATGGATGAAAATAGATTAAAAAGCTCTTCTTACTCTTCAATCTTCTTTTTCAGAAGAAGAAAGTGCATAAGTTTTGGGACACTCCTTTTTCTAGTGAAGTCTGAAAACCATTGGAATCAGCTTATAGCCCTGATTCGTTGGAACGTTCACAAAAACTCAAAGAATCATTGTTGCAACTAAGAAAGGGTAATATCTCGGTTATTGATTACATTAAATAGTTTAAATTCATTTGTGATAAACTTACAACAATCTGACAACCGGTACCTGAGGCAAACAAAAATCATTAGTTTTTATGTGGTTTAGGCCTCGTTTTAGAATCTTTCTTCACTGTGCAAAGGGCTATTCTACCTAGGCCATTATTTCATTATTTATTTACTCAAGACGAGGGACATAGATTGTTCATCTTCTCTCTTCACGATTAATCACATGCACTTGTATCTTTCATTGCTCTTAACCACTCTTCCACTCAACATCCCACTTGTGGTAGAGGCAAATATGATAGGTATAATAACTGAGGCGCATACTCCTCCCGAGGACGTGTAAAATGATAGCCTCGTTTTCAATTATGTTGTGAAGTGTCATTATATAGTTTCTTTCCCAGATATTCAAAACCATGCTTAAAGGTATTCCTCTTCAATAGAAAATTTAGCTTAGGCTTTTCATGTAGGTTGTAACATAAATAATTCAAATTTGGATTGGTATGCGGTCTCTGGAATAGTGCCCGTATGGCACCGTCAAAAGTAAACCTTGACTCCACAGTTCCTTATCATGGAACTAACAAAGTGACCTTCGAAAATGGTATTATACTTCCTATATCTCATGTGGGGTACTTTCTCGGTTAATTCAGATTTAAATTACAAGATGTTCTAATAGTTTCACATCTGAAGAAAAAACTACTTTCTTTTAGTTTGACATCCCCTATTTTCCATAACTGAAATAACTTTTCTTTATGCCTTCAAAACCATTTTATTTTTGTTTTCAGAAAATATCAGTTTATTAAAATAATTTGAGTACAAATGTTGTTTCAAAATAACAAAACCCTAAGGATATGATAATCAATAAACAACATGAGTTACAACGTAAAGTCCTATCGGTCATGAATACTATCTCATGTTCTCTCTTAATCACTCGACATCCTAATCAAGTTCCAGCAACCTTAGACTTGCTACTTGTTATGCATAAATTTGAGTGTGTCAGGTTTGGGAACCTCACGAGAAACGTAGGGTTTTAATCCCCACAATATTATTATAATAATAACTCATAAATAACAATATTGCAATACCAATTGTTAACAAAAGTATATCCCACATCATATATATATATATATATATATATATATATATATATATATATATATATATATATATATATATATGACACTATACCCTTTTCCCTTAGTTACCCAACTCGTCAATTTTTACACACCGATCCTATAATAATGATCCCTTTGAGATCCAACATGATGGATCACTGAACGCAACGAGTAGACTCTATTGATTTGGGGATTACTCAGCAAAGTAAGTTAAAAAAAGGAAACCATGAATGGGATAAAGTACTCAAATGAACACCTTTCCTTTTCTTTGAAAAGTATGATCATTAACACCTACATTTAATGAGCCTGCAAGTGTTCCACAAGATTTTGAACAATAGTCTGTGGTCTTCA